AAAAGTAGATCATAACTATATTTATGATAATTTTCCAGGCAAATTTGCCTGGAAAAGCCTACAGTTTAAGGGATAGTATATAATATATATTATATAATATACTATAAGTTATATAGTATAGGCTACATGTAGCCATGACTATATATAAATTTTTTCTTGTTTTTTTTATAAAATTGTAGTAAAAATATAATAATATAGTAGTAAAATAATAATAAAATAGTAGTAAGCAGTAGTAGGCATATTGCCAACTTGAAGTAAATATAAAACTATAATAATTATAAAATAACTATATAGCTACTTTATAGCTAATTACAAGTTATACTGTATTAATGTTGCAAATTTGGCAAGTTCTGTAAAGTTCTTAATTACTTATTTCACAAATTATAATACCACAAACAACTAATATTAATTAATTATAAATAAATAGTAGATTATACAACTCTAAAAACTATATAATTATTTTTTATTCTTTTAAATTTCTTTAATTTTCAAATTCTTAAAATTTTACAAATTTTACTACAAACTTTTAAATCACAATTGTTCAAACAATAGAAGCTTAACCTATTAATAATCTTCTTAACTAATTACTAATTGAAGACGTACAAGCTTTTAAACAATTTTTACAAATTTGAAAAGACAATAATATTTCATATAATACTATTAAAATATCTGATCAAAATATCTCTATTATTGATGAAAATAGAGTCAAACAACAAGTTTAATTAACAGTATTACTCAACAAACAATTGTAACTCTTTCTGATTATTCTATATTATTTGATGAATTTATTAATAGTACTAAATGTGATATAATTTTTTTACCAATTGAATCTATTGCTAAGGAACTGAATATTCAAGAAAATCTAAATAAAGAGTTAACTACTAATCAACAAGATATTAATCAACAGAAAAATAAATACTTTATCAATCAAATTAAAAATGATTTAGAACATAAAATAGAGGATCAAGTTCAATTAAAATTTCTTTATCAAGGTTCTAATTATATTTAAATTTTAAATCAAATTATAATCAAAATTCATACTTTTGAAAAGAAAAAATCCAAACAAACTCAAAGATTAGAAGCTCTTTATTACTTGGAACAATTAAAAGAAAATAATGATAGAAATATT